AGACGTACAGAGATAGACACAGACAGAGGTACAGAGACAGATGCAGAGACATGCAGGTAGAGACAGATACAGGTACCGAGATAGAGCTAGATACAGAGATACAGGTACAGACATAAACCACACTCCACACCCACAGCCCCTACCCCACACTACGCTGTCGAATCCCATAGCATCCTGTCAGGTCTGGCACTCCCCCACAACCCCCCCAGAATACAGTGTTGGAGAGGAAACCGAAGGTGTAGTACACCAGCGCTGAGGGAATAACAAATAAGTGGGAGGAGTGGCATGAAAGAATCTCGAGGCATCACCAGACATCATAGCTCTCTCAGAAACCAAGCTCAAAACCAAGCGCAAAAAAAAAAAAATGGAAAAATGAATAAATAAATAAATAAATCTTGGAATAATAAGAAATGACTTTTTGAGGATTTTACTTAAAATTTAAATGTAAAATTGGCCTTTGGTTCTGGTGCTGTAGTTGGGCAGGAGTAGGTAAGGCCCTGGACAGATCTCTGATGTTAAAGATGATGTAGATATCCTGGGCGGATGGTAACAGTCCGATGTTTTGGAATCTCCTGTATTACTTGGAGCACCACAAGTAGGATAAATAAGGGCTGGTAGTAGTCGAACAGTGTTAATTAGTCCCATTAACAAGTATCTTGCTCCTTTATCTGGCGTCTACCCTGGATGACCACGCCAGGAACAGAGCTGGTAATAAAAAATAAACTGGTTACCAATGGTTATGATTATATAACATTTAAGAACGAAAGAGTGGTATTGAATGTCAAAATCATTACTGGTAACCAACAAAGAAAATAAAACAAAGAACAGTAATACTCCTGTTAGAGCGCTTCTTTTTTATTATAATATATCCTGTTAGATCACCTTACCTGATCAGGAGAAGAGTGGAGGTGAAGTGACTCTCCAACCTTCAACCCACACCAGGTAAGGTCAATACTACCAGGAGTAGAAATTGAAACAAATCAGTACACCAGGAACTAGAGTTTCGCCCCAGTCCGCTAGAGGGGGGGGGTGCGACGTAACGCGCTAATGGTTCCTGGTTGCCTGAACAACCCTAACCCCACTTACAACCTACTTTTCCCTCACAATGATAACAGATGGCATCTTTCCAACTGGATATCAGATCCTGAGGAAAGAGAGGGGGTGGAGGAGTGGCACTTCTCATCAAACACCAATGGGATTTTAAGGAGGTGGAGAGAGGAGATAAAGGAGAAGCAAGAGACTACATAATAGGAACACTTCAGTCTGGAGGCGCTGTATAGCCCTTGTGGCTTAGCGCTTCTTTTTTATTAATAATCAGTCTGGAGGTCCCAAGGTGGTGATTGCAGTGTTGTATAACCCACCACAGAATAGGAGGCAAAGGCAAGAATATGAGGGTAACAGAGTGATGGTTAACACACTGGCTGAAGTGGCCAGAAAGGCCCATGTGAGCAGGGCAAAGCTAGTGATTGTGACTACCGAAAAATTGACTTGGAAAACATGGAGCCACATGGGGGCCCAGAAACGTGGAGGGATAACTTGAAGGTGGTGGTACCGGAAAACCTCGTGCATCAACATGTAAGGGACACTACCAGAGAGAGGAGAGGACGAACCAGCAAGACTGGACCTAGTATTCACTTTGAGTAATGCAGATATTGAGGACATATGAAAGACCATTTGGGGCTAGTGATCAAGTGGTTCTGAACTTCGATTACATAGAATTACAAGTAGAGAGGGAAGCAGGAAGGGGAGGATGAATGAAGCCAAACTACAAGATAGAGGGACTACACAGGCATGAATTTCCAGCATGAGGTTCAGTGGGACAACTGGCAGGGAGATCTGTAAATGAGATGATGGAATGTGACCACAATATGCAAGGAAGAGGAAGAGATGTTTGTACTCAAGGGCAACAGAAATAATGAGAAGGCCAGGACGAGCCCTTGGTTCACCCAAAGGTGTAGAGGCCAAAACCAAGTGTGCTAGAGATTGGTAGAAGTATAGAAGGCAAAGGACCCAGGAGAATAAGGAGAGTAGTTGAAGAGCCAGAAATGAGTATGCTTAGATAAGGAGGGAGGCCTAATGACAATACGAAAAAGACAGTGAAAGCCAAGTCCGACCTCGAAGCTGCTGTACAGTCACGTCAGGAGGAAAACAACAGTCAAGTACCAGGTAATCAGGCTGAGGAAGGAAGGAGAGATTACAAAAAAAGATTGAGAAGTATGTGAGAATTTCAACACGAGATTCAAAGTAGTATTCAGAGAGGAGACAGAATGGACTCCAGAAAAATGGGATGGTGCAGGTACACCAAGTGCTGGACACAATACACACAACAGAGGAGGAGGTGAAGAAGCTGCTAAGCGAACTAGATACCTCAAAGGTGATGGGGCCAGACATCTCTCAATGGGTCCTGAGAGAGGGAGCAGAGGTGCTCCATGTACCACTAGCAACAATCTTCAGTGCATCTATTGAGACAGGGCAACTGCCTGAGGTATGGAAGACAGCAAATATAGTCTCAATTTTTAAAAAAGGAGACAGACATGCAGCATTAATCTACAGACTAGTGTCACTGACATGTATGCAAAGTCATGGAGAAGATTATCAGGAGAAGAGTAAAGGAACATACACATCCAAGGACGGGAAATCCTGTACCACAAACCCACTATGACAGTACCTGGGATATACCTATACCCGGAGAGGGTTTCTGGGGCTAAAGCTCTTGTGGCCTGGACTGAGACCAAGCCTCATGGTGGACCAAGGTCTGATCAACCAGGCTGTTACTGCTGGCCGCACGTAAACCAATATACGAACCACAGCCCAGCTGGTCAATTACTGACTTTAGGTGCCTGTCCAGCGCCTTCTTGAAGACAGGTCTATTGGTAATCCCCCTTATGTATGCTGGGAGGCAGTTGAACAGTCTTGGGGCCCCTGACACTTAATGTGTTGTCTGTATCTGTAGTGTACATTGGGGAAATGTTGTATCTCCTGCCGAGTCTTTTGCTTTCATGGGTAGTGATTTTCATGTGTAAGTTTGATACTAATTCCTCTAGGATTTTCCAAGTGTACATTATCATGCATCTTTCTCACCTGCATTCCAGGAAATACAAATCTAGGGCCTTCAACCATTCCCAGTAATTTAGGTGCTTTATTGTACTTGTGTGCCATGAAGACAGTGAAAGTTCTCTGTACGTTCTCCAGGTGATATAACATCTTAGCCCAGATTCACTTCTTAGGCCTCTGAAGCAATCTGCTGATTTTCCTTAGAATTTCTTATCCAAGAGACATTTCCATGTGCTTTCCCGAACTTTGTCCAAACTGAAGGTGTCCCCCAGGGATGTGTCCTTAGCACCACATTGTCACCTCATTGCAGTTTCTCTCCAGAATGCTGTCAGCCATGTTTCCAATTGGTCCACTACTGACAGCCTCTCCTCGCTTGACGATGGAGTTCCGTTCCTAAGACCATGCCGGTAAACGAATTCGTTGCTAAGTGAGGAGCATATTATAATGGTAGCGGGTTTGTGTCGACCATATTTGATCATTATTTTAATATCACTTTTGCACCATTTATAACATTTCTGGTATCTCTTTAAATGTTTATACAACAGTGTACTGAATATTGTAATAAAGAGAATAGAGGAAATCAGCTTCAGTATACATTATTTAGTATGAATATTGGTCAGAGCCTGTTGTAAGTCCGAGTCATCGGTAAATGAATACGTTGCTAAGTGAAGAGAGGCTGTACTAAAACACACTAAGTTACTTTCACTAGACATTCTATTGTCCCTGATAATCCATTGTACCTGTATGGCTTGTTCTCTGACCATCATACTGTCAGGTTTCTCGACCTCTTGTTTGACTGTCGATTATCCTGGAAACCTCACATTACCTCCTTGAAGGCAACTTGTCATAACCAGCTGAACCTCCTTAAAACTCTCACTCGTCTTTCATGGGGGTGATCGTTGAACTCTCCTTTAACTGCAGTCATCCCTCTTCTTATCGAAACTAGATTATGGCGACCAGATATATTCAGCAGCCTCTCCTGCAACTCTCTAATCTTGATCCCATCTCTCACCAGGGAATATGTTTATGCCTCAGTGCTTTTTGCTCTTAACCTGTAGAGCCTACATGCAGAGGCCTTTGTGTCCCTTCTGCAGTCAACTCTGTGTCCAATCCTTTTGCAGTCCTGGGCTCTGAGACTCTAACCTTATCATTTCTTACTGTCCCTACTTCTTCACCTTGTCATTTGCTGTTTCAATGTCTATGCGCTCCCTCCTAATTCGATGCCACATATCCCTTTTCCAAAGGCTATACCTTTATTTACGTCCAAATCTCCGACCCCCAAACCACCTGACATTCCTAAATGCTATTATTTCTCGAGTCTAGACCTTTACCTCGAGATGCGTCTGATACTGTTGTGCAGATTCATCCCCCCCCCCCCCCAAGTACAGCTGCTTCCTTACCTGTCCGTCTGGAAATTTCTGCCTGCCTAAACACCACTACCCTTCTTTGGTGTTTTCTGATTTCTCACTTTTTACCCACACTACATCATCGCCTTTCTAACTCTACCTCTATTATCCTCTCCACCCTCAATATTATCTGAAGAACTTACCCTGCCCTGCAGTGCTGTATGACCCTTGTGGGTTTAGCACTTCATAATGTCATGGCTGGGCTTCAGTTCCCTCAGGATAGCCACGACATATGGAGATCAAATTAAATACTGCACTTGCCTTCAACCAGACTGCCTAAGCACTTTGTGACCCGAATGGGTTTTAGCTCATTCCCCTCGCATACGTAATAATGCGCATAGCTCTCGCACAAATGTCGCTTGCAGATCTTTTTAGGTAATAAGTACACCCAAAGGAGGTACCTTGAAAAGGTGGGCTCTCAATCCTTTACTTGGACTGAATCCCATTTTTTTCCATTTTCCAGACACTATATGACCCCATATGGGTTTAGTGCTTAAAATAATCTAATAATGCAGCAGGAAAATAGAATAAAAAGACGGATTCATTTCATCTTTGTTAGCATAAATAACAAATTTGTACCTGCCAAAGGCACATGGAAATAGTATATATATAATTCTATATACATATTTACAATATATTTTTTTGGTTCAACTTCTCTGCATGAAAGTTTGAAATGTAACAAGTTAGTACTTATTCTTGGACACATTTATTAATAGTATCAATCTGTTAGCAGACAATAACTATTCATAATATAAACAAGTTATAGATAATATATAAATACTCTTCATAAGTCTGGCCCTATTCAATGTACAAATATATAAAATTAATTTGGTTTCAGTCATAAAAACATGACCATGTAAAAAAGTAAAGATACAAAGGAGCAGAAGACTTAGTTCCAACACATCTAATATTGCTTGTTCTCACAGTTGCCAACAACTCAGTCCCAAAACAGCTGCCAACGCATTGCTCCACCTCTATACATACAACAATATGTAACATTTCAACAATTCTGGGAATAACGTCAAAGATTATACAAGCATGCTTTAACATCAGGTTTGGACCCGAGGTTTATTTTTAAAACTCTTTAAAATCTACAAGGAGTGCCTACTTTCTTTACATAATTTTTTTTTAGATTTTTTCATAGACAGTGGACACAGAGCAGGTACACAGGTAAGCCTTGGTATTCTAGCATAATAGTGAGGTTTGCCTTACCACAGGCATACACCAGCACTTACAATAACTGTTGAAACGTCTCTTTAGAACACATTTGCACAGTCTTCCTATGAGTATGATAATGCAAGAATTAATAAAATCTCCTGAAAAGTGGAAGACAAGAAGGAAGTATCACTAGTGGAAGGCACAGCATATACAGACTCTTTATGCTATTTGTGACAACATCACTCCCATGCTAATGGGCTGTGTATTAGAATTTGTTTTTAAATCAACAAAAAGCTTTAAATACAATATTGTGTGTGTGTGTGTGTGTGTGTGTGTGTGTGTGTGTGTGTGTGTGTGTGTGTGTGTGTGTGTGTACATGTGTGCACATGCGTGCACAGCAGAGCAGAGCCTTGATCAGTATGACTTTGAATGGTACAAAATTTGATTTAGTATTAATTAGAAAATCATACCTTATTTAATACAAGTCAAAATTGGATTCGGAGAAGTTTGCTGTCCATCCTGCTGTCTGTTATGTGGAGACGTGCCGCAGTTATCCTACGTGTTTACAGTACATACTATATTTTAATTTTTGATAAACTGCCCTAAGCAAATATGGACAAACGGAAGAATACTTATAGTGCAAATAATACAAGCACAAAATAAGAGGAGGCTTATTACGTTAGGCAAAAAACTGATGTAACACTGGCATGCACATGGTGATTGTAAATTTTAAAATAGGCCAAGATGTTGGAATGCATGAATCTATATAATATAAAACACATGAAGTAAAAGAAAAAGGTATAAGTGCATCAGCTTTTTGTGGCTTGCAAACTAGAAATAAAAGCACTGCATGATAGAAAAGAGATACTCTTATCAAACAAAAGCTCTGAGTGTGTCTGGCAATGCAGAAATGGAAGATTTTTTTTTTTTTTTTTTTTTTTTGCAAGCAATGGTTGGTTTGACTTTTATAAATCAAATTCAATTGCATAATGTTAAAATTACTGGCAAGTCTGCCAGTGCAAATAAAGCTGCTGCTAAATTTTTTTTTTTTTTTTTTTGAAGAAAATAGTGGAAGATGGACACACAGACCAACACCAAAAGTATTTCCCATGCTTGGGAAGAATTAACCAAGCAATATGCATGCAGTGTGGAAACACATTTTGCCTCATTGTGCAAATAACTTTGAAGGCTTTCCCTCTGAAGTGCAAGCTGTTGTTGAAGAAATAACCAATACTGGAAGGTGGCTTGGTTTCTATGAACTACATTCTACAAATGTCCGTGACTTGCTCGAACCACACTTGCAAGAAATGGCCAATGGAAACCTTTTTAATTTAGATCAACAATAAAATGTAACATTTTCACTTGTTTAGTTTATAATAAAGTTGAATAAGAAATACATTTTTATTATCCTTTTGGTTGGTGAGGGGCTCTTGATTTAGGAAATTGGATCTGTGCTCCAGTTCCCCGAATTAAGCCTGAATGCCTTCCACATCCCCCCCCCCCCCAGGCGCTGTATAATCCTCCGGGTTTAGCGCTTCCCCTTGATTATAATAATAATAATAATTTATTATCCTTTGGTAATATATTAAAATTTGTTATTGCAGCAGTATTGGAGTAGGACCAATTATCATACTTCGTTATGACCACTTCAAGTGGTACAAATTCTATTACTGCAATCGCTTAGCAGGATTCATTATTCGTACTAATCAAGGCATTGATATCTGTATGTATGTATGATATATGTAATATAAACTTCTCTGCCTTATGAGCAAATAATGCCATAATTGATCTTTTGTGGCTTTACTATACAATAAAAATAAACAAAATCCTTGTGAGTGAATTCATCAAGGGATTTTACTGTGAGAGACACGAGACGTCCACCCAGCAACACAGGCATATGGAAGCCTCTTTATGTAAAAGATGAGAACCCTGAAGAAAGCAGACATCTATACACCAGTCCTGTGTCATAAGTCAAGCTGTAAACTATGAGATTCAGCAACTAAGTAATAAAAGTTTCTTGTCTGTCCTAGCTTTAATCCAGGGTCTCTTAAATAAATAAAAGTAAGCCTGATGATACTGGATAGACCGAGTCATGAACAACAAAAATAAAACCACTGATTGATCATCTACTTTTGAAGGGAAGAATCAGACTTCTACACCTTGGTCTTCAGTACTGAAGAGAACATCAGGACGGAAGACCTTGGGAATGGCACCAGTGGTTGCTTGTCTAGCAGTTAACTGCCTCACTAATAAAGAGGCAGTCCCAGCCATGGGGGGTAGCGTAGCAGCCAGTGTGGGCGTTGGTGACGAGGGAGATGATGTGTGTGGAGACTGCATGGGCGTGTGCTCGCCAGACTTCTCATCTGTACTTATAAGTGATAGCCTTGCAATGCATGATGAATGAGACGAGTTTTTCTGGTCTGCAGTAGCAGACGAGTATGATGGTAGTGTAGTGGTTGCTAGAAGATGTAACGGGCTGAGTGGCTCTGTAGGCGATGCCACTTCACTGTCAGAATCCATACTCAGAGGAGGAATCGTAGGGCTGGACTTTAGGAAGAATGCCATTTTCTCTCTGTAAAAGAAATATAAGAATTAATAGCTTTTGTATATGACAAAAAAATATAAACTTACTAAAATAGATATTTCTAGCAGGAAACAGCTGTATGAACCCTACAGGTTCAGTGCTCCCTATGACTAACAATAATAATTAATCCTTTCAGGATCAGCAGGCCCTCTCCTAAACTTGTTCTCAGGGTCGGAAATTTTTCGGAAAAAAAAAAAAAAATCTTGTGAAATGAGAGAGAATCTTTTCCCAATCATAATGACGCCAAAAGTATGAAATTTGATGGAAAACTTACAGAATTATGCTCTTGCGAAGTTAGCGGTCTCGACAATATTTACGCATCGGCGATTTCGCCCACTTTGAGCCCTATTTTCGGCCAATTCCAATTTACCAGTCAACAGGAATCATAACTATTTTGCTAGAACTCCATCTTTTCTATCGAATGAGTACAGTAGGGCCCCACTTATACGGCAGGTTAGGTTCCAGGCTACTGCCGTAAAGTGGAACACCTTTTTTTCCACTTACAAATGCATACAAACACTAGATAACATGTTTACACTAACATATATTAAGTTAGCAATAGAACCAGGCATCAAAAAACAATAAAAAAGTACAATACACACATAGTGCACTCATTACTTACCTTAAAATATTTATAGTCTTAATCTAGGGTGAGACAAGTAGTATTTATTGTAAGAAATCAAGTGTGGTATGTATGGTAGTCAGCCAGGCTACCTTACCAGGCCACCCCACCCACACATACTATTCTATGATATTTAGGCATCCCAGAGCGATAAAATGTATATACAGTTCACTCATTACTTACCTTAAAATATAGGGTGAGATGAGTAGTATTTATTGTAAAAAATCAAGTGTGGTATGTATGGTAGTCAGCCGGGCTACCATACCAGGCCAACCCACCCACACATATATTCTATGACATTTATGCATCCCAGAGCGATAAAATGTATATACAGTTCACTCATTACTTACCTTAAAATATTTGTAGTTTTAATGTAGGGTCAGGAGTAAGTAAATGAGATAAAACGAATAAATGAGAGAGAGAAAGAATGAGTGCATGAGAGGGGACAGGCGCAGAGTTATGTAAACAAACCAGGCGAAGGTAAGTTTTGTAAACAAAGTGTACACGTCTGGTTTGTGTACAAGTTACATTGTGTACAGGTTGTCTCTACATTGATACGGTAGAATAAATAAAGAAGAACACTCCCTTCTCATGTAACATCATTTTGAGAAGAAATGATGCTCTGAGTGAAGACAATGGAAATAAGCCACTCTGACTTTTTTGGGTTATCCTAGGTTCTCTACACATATGTTATGTATGATACTCTATGTAACTGTATTTGTGTATACCTGAATAAACTTACATACATAGAAAAGGAATAATTTTCTACAGTTACCCCCAGTAACATATTTTCTCTTATGTTAGATTAGAGAAAATGTTATTCTTGCCATCACTTGTACAAGTTATCTGGCTACCACATCTCATATTTATGTTTATTTATTCTATTGTGGGGTGTATTTATCATCTTTTTATGTTATGTATGTGTTTATTATATAATTTTGAAAAAAATATCATGAAAATGTGTATATTAACGTAATATACGACATTTAATGAGACTCGGTGATTATTATTATCATTTCTAATATGGCGTCACTTGTGCAAGTCGTCTGCTACCACATCTCGCATTTATGTTTATTTATTCTACTGTGGGGTGTATTTATCTTATTTATATGTTATGCATCGTGTTTATTATATAATTTTGAAAAAATATCATAGGTGGATTAATGAAAATGTGTATATTAACGTAATATACGACATTTAAATGAGACTCGATGATTATTATTATCATTACTAATATGACGTCTGGAGACATAAGACACTCTTACTGATTTTAATGTGTACCTGCATGCCAGCACAGTATGTAAGCTTATTTAGGTACAGGTATACATAAGTATAATTATCAGAGTATATATAAAATATGAAATAACTTTTAAAAACATTTGAAATTTTGGAGTTTCCAGACAAAATGGAGAGACTTAGTGCTTACTGAGCTCACGGAGAATGTAAACAAACAGGGTGGGGCGCGGTGACCGTATTAGAAAGTCAGGAGGGGGGGAGCCGTATAGCGAGTTTTGGTCATAATTTGAAATGACCGTATTAGCGGAACGCCGTAAAGTGAAACGCCGTAAAGCGGGGCCCTGCTGTACAAGAAACCACCCATTTACCGATTTTATCTAAAAGTGGTCAGAAATTGGCAATTTTGCCAATTTCACACAAATTTCAAAAGATGCCAATTTCCAAATAGGGTCCAGAATAAACAAGACAGACATTCCTGGCACTAAAATAACATTTTTTCTGTTCATCAGTCACATCCCCAGGCCTCTCTTACATTTCTTTTGCTTTCCTCTTTGAATTTTTCTCAAAAAAAAAAAAAAAAAAATAGAAGATTTACTGTTATGCAGACTACTGCATTAGTGTAGAAATGGTATAAATAATATCAGCGCACTTGTGAAAGAATATTAGACTCGCCAGTCGACATGTATTGGACGCATGGCATTTGTTTACTTTTGAACTTTAGCAAAATTCAAACATTTCTGTTATTTTGAGCTCAATTTCAAGGTGCTTTTCATTGTGAAACCAATCAAAATTATCTCAATTTATGTAATATGTCTTCCATTCTATAAAATGTGACCAGGAAGACTAGAATACAACCATAAATAGCATACAAAAATACACTGCAATGTCGCTGTTTTAAAGCAAAAACACGATTGGAGTATTTTTTTCTCATTATGCACTGTGTGCTGCAGGATTTTTTTTTATACTGTGCACACTGACCACATAGACCCATTCTTTCATATGTAGGCCTACCAGCTTTCTCTCGCTAGATCTGAAGGTGCTAGAATTTATGCGTACTAGTACGGCACCAACCCTGAAAGGGTTAATAACAGGGAACAAAGAATACTCATTTCAATGCTCACCCTTCAGAGTCCCTCAAGGGACCTTGATGTCAGTGAGACACACTTGATTCAAGGCAGTGGACCAATTCTCTCCCTCCTTGAATCAAACCAAACTGTCTCCCATTCCCAAGATCTTTACGTCCCTCTGAGCATAACTGCCCTTCAAGGATCATGATGTCAGGCAAATGACTCTTGATATAAAGAACTGGAGCTGCTTTTCCCTTCCCTGGAGCAAACCTGATTAGTACTTTATGCTCAAGTGCTGCATGACCCCTACTGGTTTAGTGTTTACCATCCAATTATCATGTTTGCACAAAGCTCAAATATTTTTTTTATAAGGATACAGAATGTAATCTTGCCATCCTGTGAGGATACAGCTGGTAATCCTGCCATCCAATGAGGATACACATGATAAGCCTGCCCTTCTATTAGAATACACATAGTAATCCTGCCATATTAAGATACACATGGTAATCCTGCCATCCTGTTATACACACTGTAACCTCGTCATCCTATGAGGATACTCATGGTAATCCTGCCATCCCATGAGGATACACATGGTAATCCTGCCATCCCATGAGGATACACATGGTAATCCTGCCATCCCATGAGGATACACATGGCAATTCTGCCACCCTATTAGGAAACACCTGGTAATCCTGCATCCTATGATAAACATTAATCTTATCCTATGAGGATACATAGTAAATTTAAGACCCTATGATGATACACATGGTAATCCTACCATTCTATGAGGATACTCATGGTAATCTACCATCCTTTGAGGATACACATGGTATCCTACCAGCCTATGATGATACACATGGTAATCCTGTCAGGGCTGTCAGAATGTTTAAAAACTGACGTGTCAGAACAAAAATCATTTAAAATGTGGGAGCTCTCAGAATGATTGTTATTTAAAATGTGGCTGTCAGAAATCCATCACAACAAACAATAATTAACAGCATGTTGTGAACAGAAAGATAAAGGCTGATAAGTAATAGATGAGGAAATAAAGTGACAAACAAGTTTGCCCATGATACCAAAATAGGCCGTTGGCTTAAGTCTAACAAAGACACTAGAGCACTACTGAAAGATCTGAATAGACTGATGCAGTGGTTGGAGAAGTGGCAGATGCAGTTTAATATAAATAAATGCAAAGTTGTAAGCCTTTGAAAAGAAAATATCCTTGGCAGTTATAAACTAAATAATTTAGATCTTAATCACTTTGAATGCAAAAAAGATTTAGGATTTCTGGTTAGCAGTAATCTAAAACCAAGACAACAGTGCTTAAATGTTCGCAATCAAGTGAAGAGAATTCTTGGCTTCATAACAAGAAGTATAAATAACAGAAGTCCTCAGGTCATTCTTCATCTCAGTATATTGTCGGTTAGGCTTCATTTAGATTATGCTGCACAGTTCTGGTCACTGTATTTCAGAATGGACATAAATGCAGTGGAAAATGCTCAGAGGAGGATGACAAAGTTAATACCATGTATCAGAAATCCTTCCTACAAGAATAGAATTAATGTACTGAATCTGCACTGTATAAAAAGTTTAGGTTAGGTTAGGTAAGGTTCGTCAGGAAACAGGACAAGTGTTTCTTCACGCGGGTCTTAGTCATATGATGACCCGCCTTTGGAGCTTTGGTCATCTGACCAAGGCCTTCTGCTGGCTTACCGGTCCACCCCTTTAAAAATTATGATCATTTATATAATGATGATATAAAAAGGTGTACAGTTAGAGGGGGATACGACTGAGGTGTGCTAGGTGGTAAGCTGGTAGACAGCAGCTGCCCAGGGTGGTACTACCGTCCTGCCAAATGAGTATAAAATGGAAGCCTGTAATTGTTTTGCATGATGGAAGGATTGCTGGTGTCTTTTTTGTCTCATAAACATACAAGATTTCAGGTACATCTTACATGTCACACTACACATGCATGTACAGTGGATCCCCGGATTACGATGTCATTGGATTACATAAAATTCGGATTAAGTAATGTTTTTGCGTCAAAATAATGGCTCGGTTAA